GGAAATAAGCAGCAGGCTTTCAGGGTATCCTGTATCTGAGCATCTCAGTTGTAGTTAATGGGACATAGGAACAGAAGGAAGAATTGCAGTAGGGCAAAAATGGAATTACCAAGAACATAGTGCATTTTCTTTTTTTTATCTGGAGAAATGAGCAGCAAGCCAAAAACACTGATTCTTTTAGTCTTTTTTGCAATCCCATTTATTATCTCTCTCTTAAAACAAACACCTCACACCATGCCATGTTTCTATTTTTTATTAAACTATGTACATAGGGAGGTGCTGAGCTTAAGTGTCACAAAAGCTTTTGGCAATTGAGTGATACATGTGGCTTATACACTTGGATACCTTTTTGTAAGGCATCGTTTTAGCCCATTCTCATTAGGCATGTTTCTTATAAAGCTATTTTAAGAAAGAAAAATTCTTTTTTGGGGATGTCTATAATTTCTTACTCCCTCTTTGCTGCTACCGAGAAAATAATGGAGGGATAAAGTGAATTTGCAAGACAAGCCTCTTAAAAACTTTGCTTAGTGGGAAAGGGAGGTAATGACAGGTAACAAAATTCACCAGTAGTTGTCATTCCATGGTAGTTTGAATTTTCAGGAATTATTAGCATACATGTCCGTATTCGTAACAGACATGGTTTCCACTGTTGTGGGAAAAGCATTGATATTAGCAAGCAGAACAGCATTTTTGATGATCTTCCTAAATAGAATTTTAAAAAATTGAAATCTGGCCTGCATATGTAGTTGATTTTTGCAAAGTTTTTACAGGGTTAGAAATTGCAGGATCACATTTATGATGCATACGTTCTCCTAATAACCAAATGTTCTGAAAATAGTTCAGTTGTATGAGAGTAGCCATGTGAAATTCTGCGTCAGATTCCGAGTTTGTATGCTAATGCTTGGTTTAACTCTTCAGCTGTTACTCCACATGTAGTCAGTAAAACAACATTCTACCGGCAACTTTACTACTTGTCTTGAATGTCGGAAATGATGTGAGTTAATATCAAAGTAACCCTTCAAATTACAACAGTCTTACACTATGAAGTGGTGAGGTACTGGAACAGGTTGCCTGGAGAGGCTGTGGATGCCCCATCCCTGGAAGCGTTTAAGACCAGGTTGGATGAGGCTTTGGGCAACGTGGTCTAGTGGAGGGTGTCCCTGCCCATGGCAGGGGGGTTGGAACTAGATCTTTGAGGTCCCTTCCAACCCAAACCATTCTATGATTCTATGATAAGGCTGTGTTGGAGGATCCATCTGGTTGCAACAAGTTATTCAGGAAGCCCAGCAAAGCCAACGGGCTGGAGGAGACTCAATGTTCTCATGATATAACACTGTACGGAAGCTCAAACTGCAGCAGATTTCTCACTCTTGAATTCTGTGCGTACATATATATATATATACGCGTATGTGTATGGTTTTTAGTTAGCCATACTTTGGTCCTTTGGTAATCAGCTCAGAGCTTTTAAGCATCATATCACAGAAAGATGATTTTTAGACTTACAGACCAATTTTTGTTGGAAGGGACCCCAAATGTCACCTACCCCCACCTCCTGCTCAGAGCAGGGCCAACCTGTGTCCCCTTGCTCAGAGCATCATCCAGGTGAATTCTCAAGGTCTGTGTGATTGAAGTCACTGCACCTTCTCTGGGCATCTTGTTGCAGAGTTTAATTGCTCTCATTGGAAATTTTTTACTTTTGTCATGCTGGAATTTCCCTGGCTGCAACTTGTGGCTTTTTCCTCTGGCCCATTGCCTGTGCAAGAAGGGTCTGATTCTGTCTTCACTGAAACTTCACTCCCACACACATGAGCAGGTTTGCATGTGTAATGTGCAAATACAATCTTATCCTCACTAACCTTTCCTCCTTTTGGTTTTCTTCTATTTGGCTAGCTCAGCTGTCGCTTTGCTGAGGTCTGATGACAGGAATGTGTAGGAGGTTTATGAAATGAAATATTTTGTCATATGCTTTGTCTTTGACCTATTTTTGAAAAAGTTTTGAGAAGTACTGGAAATACAGGTGAAATTCCCCATTCTCTCCTCAGAAGAGCAGCATTATTGTAGTACAGCTGCAGAGGACATCGAACGTGTTGACTATCCTTTAGCTTATTTTCCTTTTTTTTTTTTTTTTTTAATTTCAAATTAATGATCTAGAGAAATCTTCTTAAGTCCTAACAGGGATCAGAAAGATTCTTATTGTGAACTGCCAGAATGCATGTCTAAGAAATGCAGTAATACATGATACATAAAAACATTTCAAATGTTTGAGTTGGGGCAGTTTTGTGCTGCTACAAGAGCAGTCAGCCGGAAACTTGGAGTTCTTCAATCTGTATTAAAGTTACTTCACATCAGCAAAATACTTCCCATGGGACTTTTTGAGGAGGGACAGATGGAAAGGCTGAATTCCAAGTACAGATTCAAGTGTTGCTTTTCATCTTGACAGTTTGGAGAGGTTTTACTTCATTTCTTGTCTCTGTTCTTATATATGGCCTTTATCCTTCCCTGTGAGTCTTCAGTTTACTGGTATACTGATGGCAAAACTCCTGTGTTTAAACTAACTGTTAGAAACCCTTCCACAGTACTCTGGCATTAATTATTCCTAGAATTTCAATGAAATGGGAAGACAATTTAATGAACTTGAATTTTGCATTAGCGATACCCTGCCTTATATGCTTATCTATTATCTGTCCATCTGGCAGCTCACATACTTGTTGGCAGAAGTGCTTTTATTTCCTTTCCTGAAAAATTCTGGCATTGAATGTATAAACAAGCAGTACTTTTTTCATTTATAATTCAGCATGAAATTCTGAACATTATTAGTTAATTAATATTAAATACAGTGAATTCTTGCTAGTGCAAGTATAATATTCTGAATTGAAGCATATGGAGTGGTACCACCTCCTCACAGTGAGAAGTTGGCAGATTGAGATCCATCTGTCAGCTGACACACGCACCAGTGCACGTCTCTGAGTTTACGCTGAGGCAATGCAGACTGCCAAGAGAAACTGCGAGTGGAGCTGAGAGCATCTACAATCATGATATATTTCTCGGGAGGGCGAGTGGAAGAATTGCTGTCTCCTCCCCAACTCAGTAGATGCTTAAAAAATTTACAGAATCTTTATTTGAAAATGTGTGCTGACTTTTGGTTGCAAAATTAGTTTATTAACAGCACACGCTCTGAACCCTGAGCTTACAAGTGTGGTTATTTGCAGCCTGTTGCTTTTTTGCTCATTCTACTCTTCCCCAGCTGTATACAGCCATACAGAAAACACGCTCCCTTGCTGAGGGAGAAGTTAAATTACTCTTGACTTGAACCACTCTGATGTGATAGTATATTGTGCTGGGGAGGCAGTGTAACTTGCCTGCTTCAGGAGTAGGAAAATACCTGGCAATATCAGTGTATGTCAGAAATACCTGATGTTCACAGAGCTGCAAGAAACTAGGCTGAGAAAACAACCCTGTTTCATATGGATCTACTGGGCTTTCAAGTGTACAGGTACATATTCATCAGGTAGCAACTCCTAAAGCTTTTCAACAGATTGTCTCATTTCATTTGGGGGCGTAGATAGAAGTTTGTGGTGTGATCAGCCATGTAATGCATTCCCAAAAGACATCTGTAGAGGCTTTCAAAGTTAACTCTCCTGTTTAATGTTAACTCAAATGAAAAGTATTGTTTTCAGAATCGGCCAGAGAAACACGGACCTTCTGAAGTCTTTTTCTCAGTTTAGATAAAATTTGAAATGGTGTTAGTTGAATTGGTTTTGAATATCCTCGTCCAAAACGATATTTTGCAAATACTTTCAGAGAAAGAAATAAATCCACAGGCTTATACAACTTCTCATAGTAATAACAGACAAAAGCCTAAGCTTGGAATTTCCTCCCCCACAAAGTGCATAAAGCTTATCAGTTTAATTTCGGTTTGGTCTGCAGAAAAATGTCTTGCATAAACTCCACATTAAGTTGAAACTTCTGTTTCTTGCATTTATTTTGTGATGCTTTGTGGCTTCCTCTTGTGCAAAAATGGCACTAATTAAAGTAATCCATAGTGTGACTGGGGAGGACTTGTCATAAACAGCAAACTGGCTAACTTAGCTGGGTGTTGCTCATTTTTAACAGAAGTTTTATATTTATGGCATGCTGTTCACAGAGAAAACTGCTGGCAAATGTTGCTGTTACAACTGTATCTTTGGTGTAAATGTACGATCTTTTCCTCTTGTCACTTTTTAATTTCTAATGGTCGTATTATATGGGGGTGAAACACAGTTTCTCTCTCTGCTGTCAGAAGCAGTAAAATGGCAAGCTGTCAGGTTGGTGCTCCCTGGAAATGCTGCCCCTCCACCTTGGAGGTGAAGGGGGTTTTATATTTATTTAAAGGCATTCAGGTAATTATATTAATGCCGTATTGTATGAGGACAGTGGGCTTTTGGGAAAATCACCTTACTTGGGAAAAAGTTGTGATTGGTTCGTAAATAAAAATGTGTTTTAAAGGCTTGTAAGCTAGGTAAATATAACTTACATACAGCATCCTATTTGAAACTTAAATTCATTGCTAATACCTGGAGAAGCAGGTTAAAATACCTATTGATGTATTGTTTTGCCTGACTTATACCTGCTATAGTTTGTGCCTTTTAAGAAAGAATCTCTGCTAGTTGAGGGGAGGAGGGGAATTGGGGTTTAATTATTTTTAATTTTTTAAGAGATAATTTCTGAAATAAGAGCCTAAAGAATTATTTTTTCAAGACTTATGTTGAAGGATCTGGTGAGTGACACTGAACCTTGGACAGAAGAAGGAAGTAAAACCTGTATATAAAACCCATCCTCAGGGGAGAGGTTTTCCATTGCCCTGTTATCTTTGGTCTGTCTTGCAGCTGTAACAGAAAATAAATCTGTGTCACGGCATTAGGCTGGGTCTGGCAGAGGCAAGGCTGCCGCGACTCCCTGCCCCAGGTCTGACCCGTGGCAGGGCTGAGCCTGTGTTCCCAGGAGGGAAAAAGGGTTTTTTTTTTCCCAGAAGGAGTTAGAAATGGAATTTCCTAATCAGATAGGACAAACCACAGATCAGACAATCCAAGTATATGGACCAGCCACTGTTTATGTATGAACGACTACTTGTATCCCCTTACCTCTCTATTTTCCCGCACTTGTTCCTCCATGAGTCATCTAGATCCTTCCCTTGCCCTGCCTTTGGTTCCTCCCGTAAACAACCCATAGAAAGTCTTGTGCCATGCTTTGTCGCATCCCATACCTGTCCCATATGCTCCCTGCCAAAGGTGCTCTGGCACTGGCTCCCCAGGATGGGTGTCACCCCCGGCCAGCGGGGCTGAGGCTCTCCTGGGACAGCCGTCCCTTCCTCCTGGTCCAGTATTTGTGTTGCCCCATCCGCCTTTGGGCTTCTGCCCCTCTGGGCTTGTGGGGATGGACCTGAGATGGGCTGAGGGCTCCTGGGCTGGACCTGGGAGTAGCCAGGCAGGGGGTGGTTTGGGCTTCCCCTCCTTCGTGGGGGTGCAGAGGAGCTTTTTATCAGATACTCAAACAATTTGTATTATAAACTGTATCAAGGTTGAAATAGTCAAATTTTTATCTTTTTTTTTTTTTGCCTTTGTGTAGTTGGCATTAATTTTAATACTGGATTTTTTTGAGTTTTTAATATGTTAACAAGTATCAACCTTTTTTGTGAAGGGTTTATTTGATTAAAAAATCTGTCCTGTTTTCCTTTTGCAATTAATTTTGCCCACAAAAGTCTTATTTGTCATCCATAAAATAAATATACTGTGTCAGAGAATATATTTGTCCTGTTACTAATTCACTTGATTTATTTCTGATATTATAGATTGCCCCTATATTGCGAGAATACTTTCCAATTTGACTTCTGGTCTCCAGTGAGCAAAAGAAACGGCTTTTTCTAATACCTGCTTTCCTATCGGAAATTAGATTTTCTGGATGGGCGGTCATAAAAGCTAATGCCAATGAAATGGTGGTCGGTAATAGATTATTTTTTCACGTGAGGTATATTAGCAGTCAGACGATGGATCTGCAGGAACTTGAAGGTGACAGAAGGGAGCCAATTTCTTTAAAAATATATCCTTGGCGACTGATAAAGTGAAATGCAGTTGCGTAAGATCTAATTTATCAAAGAATGAAATGTTTCTGCAAGATTATTTGCTTTCACTTTTCTATATTTTTGTTGCTCTGGGAGTTGCTAATTGTCTTCAATTTTTTTTTCCTTCTTAGTAAAACGCTTCAGAGAACCAAAGCATGAAAGACGTCCCTGGAGGATATGGTATGTTTCTGTATGCTTTATTCTTAATTTTTTTTTCTTGTGTGTATTAGAAATTGAAGGAATTATTGTTTGCATATGTTGATTGGAAAAAAAAGAAAAGTGATGACAAGAAATTGGTGACTGACAATGAGGAACAAAAAAAGTTACCAAAATATATGAGTCAATGAAAAGTTATCTGCTGTGTGTTTCCCTGCTAGTCCTTCCTACTAAATGCTTCCAGGAATCTCTACAAAGATGTGCATTTAGACATAAAGCTTCTGGTTGTGCTTCCTCCTGAAGATGGGAACTTACAATTGTCCTAAGATGCATCTGAACATCTACAAACTTACATAAGCTTACAAGAAGCTCTCAGCTGGGTTTAAATAAAATTCCGTGTTCTGTAGCTATCCTACTACATATAAGATAGAAAACAGTATGGTAAAAGATAAATACATAAGCCATAAAAGAATACAATGTGTAAAAAAATATATTTTTATTACTTTTTAAAAGTTGTTGGATTGTAGCAATGCCAACATACCATATACTAGTTTTGAGGCTACTGTAAATGTTGAGCTGCCGTTCTAGTTGTTGAAAACTTCAGTGGTTTAAATTCATCTCGTACAATGCTGTTTTTCAAAACTAAATCTGACCTTTATTTTATTGAAAAAATAAATACAAAATCTTTGTGTACTACAGCCTACCTCAGCCTGAAATTCTGAGTAGTGCAGTGATAGCACTTAATTTTTAAGCAAAGAAACTTGTTCTGGGACTTGAGTATTGTTATTTATAGTATGGTGTACTGATTAGATAAATAACTTACTGGCTTCCTGCCTCATCACTAACACTGTGTTCTATGTCATGCAATGAATGCAAGAGAATGAAGTTTAAGACAGACTTGTCAGAGAGGGGAGATGAAGTCAGGCATAAAATGCAGTTTGGATCAGTAATGGTGTTTGGATCTTTTTAGACGTAGAATGAACAGGCTAAATGGGTGGTGGTCTGTATAAAGAACAAACTCTTGCCTACAGAATTCTTTTGACACAATTCCTCTATTTAACAATTAATAAAACATCCACTGGAAGATTTGGTTTTGTGCAAAGGATGATAAAATAATGGTAAGGGCTGGAGTCAATACTGTACCAAAGTAGTGTTTTTATATTTTTCCTGTAAGTAACAAACTATTTTCTCTCCGTCACCTGCTTTGGACACAATGCTTTCAAGGTTGTAATTCTCTTGCAGTGTGGTCTAAGCTGTACTACAGATAAAATTCAGTGAGAGCACTTTATGCTTTCAGGTGAAAAATATGTTGGCTTTTTAGCACAATACTATAGATAAAGGACTCATTAGCCAGTTATTAAATTGTTCACCAAGAAGCACACAATGAGGATTTTATTTTTGTCTGTGCCATAAACTTGCTAAAACTGCATAAACATAAAAGGAGTGAAATATCTAGCAAGGCTGGGATACTCATTGTTTACAGGAGGTTATTAAAGACTTAGCTAGGTTTAGTGAGGATTAGCTCTTGGATAATGCAAATGATACCAAGAGGATATCCCTAGACTTTAAATTTACAGTGGTAAGATTTCAGGTTAGTATGATTTGGTTTATTGTTAGCAATATTCAAGAAAAAAAAAGGGGCAGAATTTAAAATGGAACATTGTTAAATAAGCTAAATACCATGACACTTTATCATTCTGCTGTTCTCACTTGAAGAAAAAATGATTAATTGAGATGGAATTTTAATTAAAATAAATTTGCAATGTCTGACTGTGGTGTAAACAGTTTTGTGTGTCTTAAAAACTGTTTTTACCCCATACAGGTTTTTAGATACTTCCAAGCAAGCCATAGGGATGTTGTTCATCCACTTCGTAAATGTCTATTTATCAAGCCTTACAGAAGAAGACCCTTGTTCACTGTGAGTGTTTAATTTCAGAATAATTGATCTTTATGGAAGTTCTCAGTTGAGTTGGGTGGTGTACATGGACAATAATGCAAAATAAGGCTGAGAAACCAGTTTTCATGGTAAAAATCAGTCACTTTCAAAAACCTGTGATTTAAGTTTAGTTAATCAAGGATCAGAGTTCTGCTCTTTAATTCATGGCTGGCAGGACCTGGGAAAGTGTTTGGGTTTTTGTTTTTTTTTCTGGGCTGTATATAGATGTTTTAGACCAAGGGTAAACTCTTACTACTTCTTAATGAATGAGGACTTAGGATGCACATTGTAATATGAGGCTGTTTACCGAAGGAGGTGCTAGGGACCAAAGGAAATCAATATAAATTTGTGTATGCTGATCTCCAACTGCACTGTTCACTGCAGCAAGGCTTTAATATAAAGTCAGTTTGGTTTCAGGAGTATTTAGCAAAAATCATTCAGGCTTGTACTTTCTTCTAAAACCTACATTAACTACTGCAGTATTATTTTCATTTTGTTAAAAGCAGGAAATCTTGCTCGGTACCCAGGCAGTTAGTACAAAAATTAATTTTGCAATGTCACGCTTGGAGCAGTGTGACTAAGTAGATAAGCATTTCACTGTAGTATATTAAACCTGAAGATTTTATGACTAGGAGCCTGTCAGGCTCTTTACAGGAGCTTCTGAAGCAAATGGTAATTGTTTGGGTTTGTTCTTGATAGGGCTCATGCTCAAAGAAGCTTACAGATTCCTGGTAATAGAAGCTGTGAAATTACTTTTAAAAGCCTAGTAATTTGCCCTTTAAAACCAATCCAGTTCCTTCGATGGCATCTGCTCACTGTTGTCCTTTGGTAAACAAAGGAGCTACACAGCTCAAGGAATATGCTTGTGTTGCTTCACAAGCCTGTTTTATTTCCCTTATTCCTCTTCAGCTTCTTTTGTGTTCCTACATGCTATAAATGTGTACTAAAACACTGTTTCTCTCTTCCCACCACAAAGTGTTTTGGTAGGGAAAATAAATGTATTTTAACACACCGTAACTGTAAACTTTAGGTTATAGTTATGACAGTTTCAATAATACCAGGCATCATTGTAGGATTTTCCTTGTTTACCCATTTAAGAATTTCCTGATAGATGTAAAAACTGGCAGGTGCAAATTGCCTTCATTCCACTTTTATATATTAAAGTATAAATTCAAGTAAGCTAACCAAAACATGTCTAAAATTGTCAGCGTTTAAAGCTAAAGCTCAATAGTTTATTACAATATTTTAAAATTTAAAATAACTGTGCTGTGTACTGAGTTTTCAAAATAAAAGCTTTACTGACATGTTTTAATGTAGTCTGCATAACTTCATTTTCAAATACCACTTGTCATGTAACATGACACAAAACAAGTAAGAGAGTGAGAACTGTTATTCACTGTTCTCAGGATAACAAAAATTACAACATGGAGCTAGCATGTAGTATTAACCAAAGCCGCTTGTGCTTTCTTGGGAAAAATGTATCTTAAGCGTGCGAGTGGGTCAAAATTAGTGAGTAAAAGCAACGTTTCTGGCTGTGACTTTAATAATAATTTTACTCAGCGAATTCAAACATGGATGGTTTTCTGCACTTTCCTGTTTTGTAGCTTGTGAGTTATTTTCAGAACAAAACCAGAGAATGTAGTTTGAGAAAATATTGTGGTTCAAAGCTTGGAAATAACTACAATTGGAAGTTGCCATTTGTTAATTTGGGAATGTAGTGCTGTAATTCAGGCAGGTGTGTGATAATATCAAAGCTGATAAAACATCTGTTAAAACACCTCGACAGATGGGTTGCTGTTTGAAGAATTTTAAATAGAAAAAGCAAACGATGCTTTTCTGTAGTGCAGGGTACTCGGCTGGCTGTGTGCAGTACACTGGGAAGTCGGTGCTTTTAGTCTGAACTCTCAGCCAAGTGCATTTATCTGATAGTAGCAGCAACTTGTTTTGGTTTCGTGCCGGTGCATCGGTTACATGCGAGCAAGGTTAACGCAATGCATTGCAGAATGAGCGTGTTGCCTATACGTAGTGAGCCTGATGTGCTTGGGAATATCAGGCATGCTTGGCCTGCGCTGTGAGCTGTAATTTGTGAAATAGGTGTTGGCACATCTCTTCTCCCTGCTCCTGACGGCTGCCTGCCTGCTATAGACTTAGAGCAGCCCCTTGTGGCCTTAGAACGACTTGTGTACACTTGAAATTGCTGAGTTTCCTCTGCCAAACACTAAACCTTGATGTTAATGTTTGTCTGATATGAAGTTCATTAAAACTCTGATTTGACACACAATTATTAGAAAATAACTATTTTTTAGAAAGTTTATGGGTAAGTCTTGGCTGAAGCAAGGCATGTCTGCTTCATTTTATTTTTGAGCTGCTCTTGAATGGGATTTTGAGGGTCAGAACAGCTCCTCCTTTACTGTTTTGAATGCACATATTCTGTCTTTGCCTTCCACTTTCTGATACTATTTTTTCCACATGGATTTGTCTCCATAGCCAGCAGATCCCAGAAGCTGCTCTTGAAGCAATAAAATTAGTAGTGCAGCAGTTGTGTGTCTATTGAGGGCTGGTTTGGTTGTTAGTTTTTTGGTTTTGTTTTTCTGGGAAGGGTTGTTCCTGATTATTTCAAATGTTTATTGGACAAGAACTGAAGTGCAAGAAAGTGAATCTTTTTTCTTCTTTTTTTTTTTTTTTCCTAACACCAAGCAGAAATTTGGCCTAGATACTGACTGTATGCCCTGGGCATGGTATTCCACTGCTCATTGCTCCTTGTTGAGGCTAGGAGGGGGCTCCCTTGAGCAAGAAAAACTGTCTAGCTGTGGTGTCTTTTCCCCTCAGAATGAAAGTGGTTTGGGTTGGATATTTTACCTTCAAATTCCTTGAGGTGTCTTTAAGGTAACTTCTCTTCTTATTCCTTTTCCTTTTCCTCCCTTGGTCTTATTCAAATACCAGCTTTCAATGCAGAATGAACGAGTGATGGTAAAAAGGAAATCTGGGTTTGTTTTAAAGGAGTAAAATGAATGTTGGAGTTTATATAGAATATGCGCATACACACACCGGAGTTAATGAAAATGGAAGTTGGAGCTTAACTTTAAGGACAGAAACAAAGCATTGAGACTTTTCTAAAACTATTTACATTTTAGGTTAACTATGTAATTACAGAAATGGGTAAATGATTATTCTCAACACTCTGGCTTCTCAACATAGATACAGATCTTTTATCAATCATGGTGTTAAAATACTGTGAACTTGTAGAAAATGGACCCTTGCTCCTTGTTTTCTTTTACGTTTTTCCTTTCAGGTACCTTATCAACTTCTTGTTAGATGCCACATTAGGAATGCTGTTAATCTATGTTGGTATACGTGCAGTCAGCAGCATTGTGGAATGGCAGCAGTGGGAGACCCTTCGCTTTGGTGAATATGGTAAATGTTTCTGTTCTTGCACTGAAATTATTTTCAGGGTAGAATCTCAGAATATTTCAGCTAGTGGTTGACTGATCTTAAAATCATTATACAATGATTATAGTGGTCATTTTAATATTTCACTTGTCACAAGGGTTCTTCTAAGCTCTGTATCTTGGCATGCACCTTCTATGTTAAAAAGCTTAACAAGTCTCTAAGCATTTAGTGAGTTTGGAACAACTGCTTGAATATTTATTTTTTAGGAGTGATTGAACAAATTACAATACTGGCTAATCTCATGGAAAAAATAACAGCATGATAAATTTACTCTGAAGCACTTTTAAATAAATGATAGCTGGAAGGTCATTTCCTATTAAAGCTTTCACTGAACCACATGCCATTGTCTGAAGATATGGGCTAAGAGTTCTGCCAGCCCTCTTTAAAGTAAACAACCACATACCTTCAGTGAAGAGAATGGCAAGATGGCCTGTGCTTGTCCTCAAGAAATGATCACTCAAACTCCTGAATGTAGAGCTTGTATCATTGATGAAAAATGCATACGTCTCTTACGGGTTGAGGGATAGACTAGTGAAATCACTTTTGCGTGAAGTTGTGGGGTTTATCTTCCATTACGTTAGCCACAGAAGTCCACTCATCTGCAGAAATTGTGGATTTGCAGATACAGTTGAGTATCATACGTACTCAACATCAGCATTTAATTCTGTTCAACCTACTACTTTCAGATTGTTTAGTCTGGCTGGTTGGGAATGGAAGTTCTGTACAGATGCTAAAAATTACATCTGAAGCTCCTTGAGATAAGAAATTGCACTCAAGAAGTTGCCGTATAAGAGAGCTGTGGCTCTTCATCAGAAAAAAAACCCCTATGGTTTGGGGGGAAAAAACCCTTAAAATAATGTTTGCCTAGGAAAGTAAAAGCTTTCATAGCAGTTTCATAATTACTATTGGTAGGTTTTTTGTTTTGTAGATTTCTTGGTTTTTAATGACCCTAAGTGGCTGACAGAAGTAAGAATAAATAAATAAATAAATAAAGGCCTTGCAAAGATGAAGTACTTTAAAAGCTTGGGAAGTTTACAATTAAGTCAAATAGCATTAATTTATTTGCTTTAATGTCAGAGGATTAAAATTGAGATGATGACAAGCATCTATCTTAAGAGAAATAACTGCCTGTACCATTAGGGCACTCTTTTAGATGTATGTAAATTTAATGTGTATATTTTAGGGTACAGTTTATGACCATTTAAGCTGTTTAAAACAGCACTGCCACAACCCTGTTTATCTGCTTTTTCCCCCCATATCCCATGGTCCAGTATTTCCACTCTTTTCCTTGGACTGGTGCACATCTGACTCTTCAGGGAACTGATTCAGAGAGCTAAACCATCAGAAAAATCACCATATGTAGAAAAGTAAATAATTTCTCCAGATCAGACCCCAGACTTGGGTCTCTAAGGGATTAGGTAAGCACCAATGCCCAGGGAAGGAAAAAAGGCAAGGAAAGAGCTGAGACATTGCCAAGCTACACCTTCTGACTGAGCTTTGAGACTTATTGCCCAAAGTCCCTTTTTCTGATTGTCGATTTGGCTTGAAGCCATTTAAAGATGTTTGAACAGCTTTCAGCTCATATAAAATTGGCTTTCCACTCAGATACACCAAAGTTTTTTGCTCTGTTACAGGTAGGTACTTGTAATCATCTCAAATACTAGACTTTATTTCTTCCTAATAGCATGCTGGGTTTTCTTGTGTAATTTGTTCTCCTCTCCCACTTTAATGTCATTGTAACAATAAGCAGTCTGTGTGGATGGGAAGATGTGGGGAGTATGTTCACTCTCCTGAAATTTGTCTGTCTCTCTTACTGGCTTCTAAAATGAACATGGTTTTATTGTAGTTAGTTATGAGGCATCTGTGACTGCAGTAGCTAAGCTCTTAAGATCAACAAATGAACTTGTTACTTGTGTTCTGCTGCAGAGGTGGGCTGAGACTGATCTATTATTGTCATTTTGAGTTAGGACATCTGAAATGCCTAAACTTGTTCATCAAGTATTTCTTCTCTGTGTGTATATAAGCGGTATATGAAATTATATAATTCCACTTTAGTTGTTCTTTTCAATACCAGATTATTTTATTAGTGACTAACTTTCATTTCTGTATCTTCACTAATGTACTGTCCTGACCTTAGTGTGTTGGGTTTTTTAATCAAGTTATCATAAGGACTATTAAAAAACATATTGTAAATCTGTGTTTCCATTAATTATGTGGGAGAAGCTTCTGTTATAAAGAGAACTAGATAGCAGATGGAAAGTTGTTAGTAGTGGCTGTGCAGTAAGGTTAGACCCTATGGAAGAAATGTGTCTAAAATGACAAGTTGCACTGGATTGCTTGCTGCCCTCTTCTGTTAAGTACTACTGCGGCTTCTGAAGTGAAAAACCCCTGTATTACCCTTTTATTTAAAAGTTTTCACTTTGGCCCCAAGAAATCTCGTCTTATTTTTCATAAGATTCTTTAAAATAATTAAACTAAGTAGGGTGGAAGAGGGGACTAAAATGCAGTCCTGTGGGCTTACAGGTGTGTTTAGACTTAATATTTTGAAGTTAAATATGGGTGTTTAGCATAGATGGATGGTGAGGTGTCTGCTTATTGAAAGGTATCAGAGACCCGTGGCATTTTATCTGGTGTAGTAAAGTCAAGTCCTCAGCTTGGAGATCGGTGTGATTTCACTTTGTTTGCAAGTGTGGGAAAACAAACAAGAGCCCCCTGCAAAAAAAAACCCCAACTCGCTTCTTGTGATTGAGCAATGTTGTTTGTGCTTCTAAAGCCTAAATAATCATTTGTCTCAAGTTAATTCTCACTGTGAGCTCATTTCCCTTCTTAGCTCTATTACTTGATCCCTGGTGATTCATTACTTGAAGCTGTCACAAAAATAGCAGTGTCCTGCTGGTTTTAAAAGCATCTTCTTTATATGGAGGATAGTTTTTAAGCATAAATGCCTCAAGGAAAGAATGGATAGCAAAATATCAGTATTCATAAATGGTCACTGTGTGTACAGCAAAACAGGACTGCACATTGATTTACAAACAAATTAGCATGAGCTCCCTCAAGGGCTTTTTTATGTCAGCATTTTTAAGTTTATTAGATTTGTCTTCATATTTCCAGTTTTGTATTTTCAGATTCATTACATCAGCAGCTGGATTTTAATAGAAGTGCAGAATCAGTTAATACATCTGAGTATGTAAAGAGGAGAAAAGCAGTCATGATCTGTACTGAAAAGAATGTTCCCTGCGTTCTCCTTCCCTTCTTGTCTTAGGCTACTTTAGCTGCTGCGAGTAGAAAACAGGTGACTAAGTTGCTCTTGGTGACAATGAACTCTGTTGGCGACTAAATCGTGCTGTGATCTCTTTGCTTGATACTGCAAGTAACTTCAAAGTTCTAATTTGAGTTTGTGTACTGAGTCTTTGAATGTACAAATGTCCTGAATACTCTTGGCGATAACTCCTGGATGCAGTGATGGTATTAACTTCTACTTTTTCCCTTGAATTGTATAGTTTATAAAATCATAGAAAAAAATGTGTTTGGAAAGCATCTCCAGAGGTCACATAATCCAACCTCTTACTCAAAGCAGGGTTAACTTCAAAGCTAAAGCAGCTTGTTCAGTGTGTGGTCCAGTCCAGTTTTTAATTTATCCATGGTTTGAGATTTAAGAGCCCCTTTGAACAACCTACTGCAGTGCTTAACCGCTCTCATTGTGAAAGCTTTTTTGTTTTATGTCAGAACTGTACGTCCACCCATCCAGTCTGTATCTCCTCAACTTTACTACAAGGATGCTATTGGGAGACTGTCAAAAGTGTTGGTAAAGTCAAAGCAGAGAGCATCCCTGTTCTCCCTGCACACACAAAAATCCTCAAGTAGAATTGAATATACACAACTTCTAACTTCAGTCATGTACCGAAAAAAACCCCCAAACGCAAAAACCAGTGCCGCCCCCTGCCTCTCCCTGCCCCCAAACATTATGGAACAAAACATTAATTGGTGATAGTGCACAACATTCTCAATACAAGAGTTTCACAATTTTTGGACGTACAAAATCTCATGTGACGGAGTTGGAATAGATGCAAAATTGCTATAGCTGTCTTTGCTTTTAGGAACTAAATACAGATTGGAAAAGAGCTAGAATAAACCGGCAAAGCTTCAATGGTAGGTCTGTAGCTACAGATAGATTTTTTTTTTTTTTTTCCATATTCGCTAGTTAAGAAAACTAGAGAACGCTAATAAAAATGTGGAGTATAGAAATTAATTGCAAAAATTTGTCACAAATCTAATTCTGGCCTTGTATCTTCAGAAGAATCACAGTTGCTCAACTTTGAATTACTGATGTTTCCCCTTTCAAATTTTCTAACTTTTTTTTTTTTAATAAGAGAAGCCATAAACTGCAGTATATAATTGTAAAACTTGAGCATTTTAACCATTTTCCTCTTGAACTATTAAGTGTTGATCACTAGCTCTTACTGTAAAACTTGTTTAGGAAGTTATCTTTGTTTTGGACTGCAGTCTGATTGATGTTTCTCTTTGTAGCATTTAAGCAGCAAACAGTAAGTCTCGAGACTGCTACCAAGTATTAATACTGAAAGCCTTTCAGAAATGTTCCAGAAAAGGAAGTGGCAACTATCCATTATGCATTACAAATACATAAAGGCATCTGAATTTCCATTGCCCACTATTCATCCCCAGGCTAAAAGTTTTAAGCTGCCTCTGAAGATGTTGCAGAGGGTATTGTGAAGACTGAAGAGCCAACATCCCTCTCCAAAGCTTCCTTTTGGTTTCCAGTGAAGTGCTGCTTTAAGCTCACCTGCAAAGCTGTTAGGCTTACCGGTCCTCTTTTTTCCCTTTCTCTCCTTGCTTTCATAGAGTATAATAGTCTGTATAAGTTCTCATGTACAAATATTTGTGGTCTTCATTCTGTCCTGGCAGATAACTTAATGCACTCAGGTTTTCACTCTGCCACAGTAGGGTGCAGCAGAATTTCAAACTCTTTCAGACTGAAACTAAAATGTGATCTTAATTTTTTGTTCAATTACATTTTTCATAGCAGCGCTTGCACCTGTTGCTTCAATTGTGATTGGTTAGTTATGGTAACTAATTTTGTAGACAAGAAAAATATGTTTAAGGTAGCCTAGGGAGAATGACAGAAATCACATTTCTACTTAGACTGAAGGGAAATAGGTTTTTTCCCCAGCTATGTTTCCCTTAAGATTTCCCTTTTAAGAAGCTTAATACTTCATGACAGAAGGTCAGAAATAATAATTGGATGAGAAACAAATGTAATGCAACTATATCTGTCTTGCTTTCATCAGATTATGTAAATCAGTGAGTGTATAACCAGGTACTGCTGAATCAGATAAAGTCCTGTTGTTATAATCAGTTTCGAACTGATACTTTTTGAAAGTTGGGGTGAGGCTGAGGGAGGGGAAGGAGCAGCACTAAAGAAATAGGAGAAGGCCCTTTAAGAGGATATAGCTGCCCTGCCTCTTCTAATACTGCTTTTCTAAAATGTTTACTGTGAAGTAAAATCAACCCTATGCATATGTTGAACCTTTCTCCTTTCTTGCAGGTGACCCAGTGCAGTGGAGTGCTTGGGTGGGCCAGTGTGTCCTGTACATAATGATTATGGGATTTGAGAAAACCATCATCATTATAGTGCTTCTTATACCTCAGTGGAAAGAGGTTGGTATTTTTACAGCATTTTAGACAAATGAATTTCAGATGGAAGCTGTAAAGCAGTAGATTTCTCATAGTGTTTATTGGTTTGGCTCAAGCATCATAACAGTCTGCATGCCGTTTAACTCTGTGATAGTGGTATGTTCTTCCAGTTTGATTAGGATACTGCTAATTTGGCTTTCTGGCATCCATTGCCAGGAATACCCTGTCATATTTTGGAGATTTATTTTTATATATTGCAATATATAAAATTTTATTCTATCCCCTTGTCTGAGTGCTCTTGAAGCTACTAAGTGGTTCTTCCTTTTCTTAATTCTTTAATTCTTATTTAAGCTATTTTGTATTGCTTCTTGTAGTATTTTAAAGAATTTTCTTTGCCTGACCTTGCTGATAGATGTAAACTGTAGAATTTTTAGAAATTTGGCGATGGATTAGTGAAGCCATTTCTGATGACTGGCTAAATATTTACTTTGATAGAATCTGTGCAACATAATGTTCAAAGTAATGGTGTGTGATGTCATAGCCCATTAAAACCAGTTTGTCCCTGTTGTATGCTCTGGACTACTTTGGGAACTGTCTTCTCTTTACTGTGTATTTTGTAAAACTCTGCTCTATTTAAATTTCCTAAAGATGGAACTTTAAGCATGTTCCTGGGGAGCATGCAGCTCTAAAATGTTCAAGATGATTCTAACGCAGCTCTTCAGACTTCTGTAAACAAAAATGACAGAGATAAGTTTCTTGCCAGCCCCACTTATCTGTGGTAATTTATAAGCTGTCCTCAGTACTTTCCTTTTCTACAGAGCTGTCCTTTTTTGGTTCATATGAATTATTTCTGTAGCGTTAGCTAGTACATGAACAATTGCACTTAATAATCCAGTTATGTGCACATGCTGCCATGATCTGAACTTAATTCTTTTCTTTTCACAGGTAGCTTTATTGAATCATATAGAGAACCCCCAGTTGGAGCTGGCTATCGTCATGCTGATAGTTCCCTTCTTTGTTAATGTTAGTACAACTTGCATGCTTCTGTGAGATGTTTACTTGGGTATCTTCCTGCCATGTGTTAATTAATGTTAGTCCTTAAAGCACAGTGTATCTTGGTGCTTAAATTATTTTTTTTAAAGAGGAAGGGTGTTAAAGAATGGATGAAATGTCTGGATATGTAGATTTTACAAAGCTGAAATCCATATTGAGCTAAGTAACCAGGCTGAGGGGAGGTGCAGAAATACCTCGTAGACCTCTTTGGCCTGATGACTTCAGTAGATGGAACATAATACTGAAATACAGACATAGAGATTATAAAATTACAATGAAATTTGCTTTAGGAAACAGTTGGTCTAAGGATAGCAGTACTGTGAAGTATCCTGTGTCTGACCATAGCTAATAGTGGCTGGCCTATCATGGAGCAGAGGAAAAGGGCAAGTGCGCAATCATCCTTCCCAAAGTATACTCCTTCAGCAATCTGGGATTTAGGGACTGGAGCCAGAGATGGTGGGTGTCCTTGCATTTAATAACTGCTGGTGATTTTTTTTTTTCTTTCATTAATTTGTTCAAGCATGGATTTTATCCTTTGAGAACCAAAAGTCTGTTGCACTAAGATGTCTGCCTAAACCGTTCACATTTCTACATGAAGAATTAATATATGATCACTGTGAACAGGAGCTACTTATTTTCTTCTCTTCTACAAAGGAAGAAAGTAGCTGTGTTCTAGAGCATTCATGCAATGTGTAATAAGCCATGTGACTGTATGCCCGTACAAGATTTTACCTGTTTGGCCAATTCAGAATTATTGTCAAGTTTTCCTAATTCTGTCGAAATACTGACTAAGAGAACATATGCTACTCTAGGGAAAACTGAACTCTCCCTCTCTTTAACAGGCATTAATGTTCTGGGTAGTAGATAATTTTCTTATGAAGAAAGGGAAGACAAAAGCTAAACTTGAAGAAAAGGAAGCGGGACAAGATTCAAGAAATGGAAGTAAAGTCCGATACAGGAGAGCAGCATCACATGAAGAGTCAGAGTCAGAGTCAGAAGTATGTAGAGTTAATTATTGCAATTAATGCAATATCAATCCAGTTCATCCGTCATGCCATTGATTTCATTGTAACACTGTCAACGTAGTTTTGATTTTCTTTGCATGTACCTCTATCAGTAATTCCTAGCATTTGCAGTTGAAAACCAGTTAAGAAAAACAGCATTGTTGCACCACTCAAGGTAGGTAATTTCCTTCCAGATTGGCAGGAAGACATAATAATATATTTAAATATCACAGGTGAACTGTATTACAAGTGCTTCTTAAAAAAACCAAACAGAATACCAAACTAATAGACAATTCTAATTCAAAGAGAGGTTAATAGCTTAAAGTGGGAGGAAGCTGTTGGAGGCAACAGGCCTGATTTTGGAGAAGTATTTACATCGTTGCTGTAGCTCAGTTAAATTGAATGGGCAGTTTTCAGTTCAGCTGAAGGATGAGTGATATCTTTAACCAACTAAAGCTAAAACAACTTACTTTTAATGTAACTTTTCTGCATTATAGACAGTACTATTTATATGGGGTTTTCATTAATAAACTGACTGCTATATTACCAGTGTGACTAGAGAGCTTGTATGCTGTGTCTCACTTTAACAGTGAGCCACCCCACTGCTCTGGAGGAGCTGGAGTCACTTCTTTGGGTGGTTGTAGTCAGTGATTGTAGTTGAGATTAATACACATGCATCCTTCTTCAAAATTTACTGGGGGTTCTAGATAGGATGTGTGATGTGGTTTGGTAGTACTGGCAGTAAATCCAAATTGTGTTCTGTAAGCTCTTTCTTGAGCAAATAATAAGGTGCTTTTCAAGCATAAAAAAAAGTAAAAGGTTAAAAGTAAAATGAAGAAAGAGCATGGCTTTGATCCATGTTACTCAGAAGCTATAATTTGTTTTTAGATCCTTATTTCAGCAGACGATGAGATGGAGGAATCAGACGCTGAAGAGGACCTCCGTAGACTGACAAACTTAAAGCCCATTAAGAAAAAGAAACATTGTTTTGGTCTGCCTGTATGACACATTCCCCAACCTGTGTATTTGCAGGTTTTGTGACAAAAACTTCAGTCAGTGGGTTTTAATGTTGCAATTGCATCTCCCTTTTCATACAAACTGACTTAAAAGCAAGGTCTACCAACAGAATGCAAACAGTTGGAAGACTTCCAGTTCAGTTGCACTACAGACACACTGACCAATTATGCAAGAATGTCTTTTCATCATGTGTGAAAAAACACAGCGTTGTTAAGGACTGGTCACTAAGGGGATTTGTATCTGACATTTCGGAGAAGATCATAGAAAACAGATACAGCAATCTTTTACTTATGGTTACTGATGATACAGTTTAAGATGTTCTCAAAAAGGCATCAGAATCAACTAAGTTAAAGGTGTGTGTTTTATTACTAAAACTGGCTTTTGCAGCATAATTCCTAGAACAGAATAGTTTATGGTTACAAGCTGTAACTTAACGTTATTTTTTTAAGTACAAATGTTTTCTTGCTACCGGGTACCTGTGGAACAAAGATTTTTTTCCAAGTCTCCTCAAATCTATTTGACTATTTTATATTTAAGTTATATTTTCATACAGTTGTATTTAAAGATTCTCTTTGTCAGAGAAAAGGGTGTAGTTCCCTTTTTTGTGCAGAACAGGTCAAAAGATTTGTAGTGAAAATCTTATTTATCTTTGTGTCCTGGTTTAAGACAAAGGGGATTGCAAAGGGAAAAGCCCTCTGTCTCTGCTGAAGTCACCAAATATCACTAAAAATGCAGTCCTAAGTGTGCTTTTGACCACGTAATTTGAAAATACCTTTTTTAATAGGAGGTGGTGTTTGCATATTTGACAAACGTGCACTTTAGTGTATAACAAAAATCTGTTGTGATAGGTTATTTGTGAAATGAATATCTATGGATGACTCTAATTATTTCTGGTTTTGCAAGTCTCTTGTGCATACCTCTCAAATGACCCAAAAGAGATGGAACATTTCTTACACTTTTCCTTTATATAGCGCCTGCAGTACAGGACCATGATCCGATTGAAGCAGCTGTGCTACAATATTGCAAATAATTCTGTCCCTTGGTTTTTGTTGGAAAAGCAATCTTCTATTTAATGTGGGGTGGTTGTTTTTTTGTTTGTTTTTTTTTAAAAAAAAAGATTTCTCCTGTTTAATTTCCATAAAGGCCAATTGTCCTTTAGTAGTAAAAACCCCCAAAACCCGAGAGGTATAATACAGTTGTTACTACAGAATTTTTGTGATTTTCAGTATCTGTCTTCTGATAATTGACAACACGTCCTGATCTGAAACCTAGCAGACATGTTTTCAGTGACATCCTTTTGCTTTGCATATTTTCTAAACAATTCTGACAGCTTTCCTTGCTTAGTTGAACCTTCTGCAGGACAAGGCGATGTGTCAAAGAGGTGACAACAGACCTTAATTGCAAATCTGTTGTAGTATCTGGACATCGGAAATGTTCCAAGCCTTAAACCAAACAGTTTCATCAGAAAACTGCTCAGAACTTTTTAAGATTTTTTACATTTTTTATAGATTTACTAGGTCTTAATGTGATTTATTATCCAGACCACTTAAATGGGCCTTAGTAAATACTGAACTGTGCGCTCCCATACTTATTTTCACTATTTCAGCTTTCCTTTTTGCTGCATGGCTGCCGAGGTGAACACAGTGTTCTGAGACTTCAGGTACACCTCGGCGTGTCCAGCCAGCTAGAAGGGACATTTTACCAAACCTTAACGTTTGTGAGTTGAGCCACTGACCTTTGTTACTGTGCACTGGAACGTAGTAACTGCAATAAGTTTAAGTACTAGTGTTTCTCTTAGAGTAAATCTAGAAACTAATGACAACAGAAGATTGAATTATTCTGAAATGGGGGGTAGGGGGATGGGGAAATGTCCCTTATCAGTGTTGCCTCTGGTTTAGGTGTGTTGGGTTTTTTTCATTGATTGTGTGACTTGCATCTTCTATTTACCATCGGGCGGGCACATATCTTCAAAAGCACAGTACTTCAAGGAATTCATTTTCATCAACAGAATAGTCTCATACAGCTCACTTTTCCAAAGGGATTTAAGAGCTAGGACTGGCTCTTGTCACAAATGTCAGCATTTATTTTTTTAGCATAGGATTTGTTCTATTTCAGGTAGTGAAATAAAGCTATTCGACATGTGCTACATACCATGGCACAGCCATCGCTGTCCTCGTCAACCGTCAGAGATAACTGAGTAGCGCACACAAATTTAACTGTATGAGCTTTCATTTTATCTTCCTTTTCCCTCCTTTTCTCCAGTTACTTAAATTATCAAAATTATTTCTATTTCTGGTATCATGTTTAGTCTGTGAAGTGTCAGTATAAAATTATGGCCTTAATGATGTAAAAATACGTGTTTTGAGCAGACCTCAAACTTATTGACCAAGTACAAAACAGTGTAAAGCACTATGGAGCAGTTTCTTGAAGGTGGTTATAGCAAAGGTATATGAATGCCTAATTTTTCATGTCTTAAGTCATAAGCTTAAATGTCACTTGGTTTGAGATTTTGATATGTCTAGCAAGATGATGTAGTAAAGCACTATGAGCCAAAGAGACAGAAGTATTTTAAATACCACAGTAGTAACAGGAGTGCGTCTTCAGAGGGTAAAACAGCTCTAACTTTCTCTACTAAGATATAAATTTTATTCATGACCTTAGCCAAATAACAAAACCTGAGGGTTTTTTCTATTCATTCTTTGTTATCATGTGAAAGAGATGGAAAATGTAAAATTGGCAGTTTTCCTCTTTGTAAGATAAAAATTGGAATTTTTGCAGTAGGTACAAGTAGGACAAGTGCTCTTGTCTGAAGAGTTTGTGTGTGCAAGAAGGAAGTATGTGCCTAGTGCTTCACTATGTCTTACTGTTCGTTGAAATGTATATGCAGTACAGTCTGAAATAAATTTTTCATGAAGAGTTGATTCAGTAATAATATTACAACATGATGAAGTTTGCATTGTCCTCAAATTGGAGATCTAAATCGATGCCTGGTAAACATACTTCAGGACAACTCACAGCAAAGGTTTAATTTGGGCTGTGCTTTAAAAAATGTGATTCTCTTAATGAAAATAAGCTATGTAGTATAAGCCAAAGGAAGAGAAAGGAATTGTAACTTACAGAAGAGACACAGAAATATTGGTGGAGATCAAATTTACCACAAATGGTCAACCTAAATGTATTAACTGTTTCTAGTATCTGACCTGTGACACATCTGCATAAATTTAAAACACTGGTGTTGTCTAATATGTGGTTTTCAAGTTCTGGCTTTAATGTGTTCAGGTCCCCTTGTCTTACTTTAAGTAGCTAAATGCTGTATGTTAAAGTTGCTAACTAAAATGTACTATAGCTTTTCTTCAGGGAAAACTCAGAAATTGAGTTGCAAATGAGAGCAATGCAAAGTGATCCCCTCTGGCAGGTGTCTGCTTCCATTCCAGCTGTGCCTGGGGAGGGAGGCGTGGGCTCTCCCCTTCCGCTGGGAGCTGAGCATCACGAGGAATTTCTGCCACTGTGCTTGACTAACCTGTGTTTGCAACTTTGCTGTGCTTTTTTACAGGAGAAATCACTAATGAAAGAGAGTAAATTCAGCTGCTTCCAGTCAGAGTAGATCTACAGCATAGGCATGCAAACTTTTTTAGGTAAAGTTTCCAGTTCAATTACTGAAAATTACTACTATGGTTTTACAAAATAAAACTGCAGTATCTTTAAAAAAGGGACTCTTTTGTAGGCGTTTTTGTCTTGCGTGGGTATCCGTCTCAAACTGAACGTTGGGTTTGTTAGTAAGTAAATTCAGAGTATAGCCTATGTGAGCAAAACCAACAGCTGTATTCTGCTGCCCTCTGTTTGGACCATATTGTTTCATCAGTGATGTTACCTTAAACTTTTAAGGGTATCTGATGTAATTACGTTGTATAATGGTTTACAATAAAGTTTGACTTACTACAGATTTGTACACTTGTTTTATACTTGTTCTGTTTAAAAGTGCTTGTGTTGCAATGTTTATAATGTGCCGTTGTGGGAAGCAGGTTTTTCTGCTGGAGTTTAACTTCAGAACTGCAGGTCTAATTTTTTTGCACACTTGTGTTGGTATTAATTTCAATATATTCATTTGCCCTAATAGCAAGTGCCATTTCGGTTGGAGGGACCACTGTTCTTAAGTAGCAAATTTTGTTTACGACTATAAGAGTCCTTGCAACCTCTTCTCAGATCTGTTCCCTGAGGAGGGTTTTTGCCCTCTGCGTGTTCACACATGGACAATAACCATCTGTGTTTTCATATTGAAAATAAAACCTTTGATGTGCAACCTAAGAACTCCTGACATTGCAGAACATTTACCTGAGGCCTTCTGGAATGTAGGATGTTGTCAACCACACAGCTGATTATCACAGCCTGCTTTCAGCATCTCAAGCAAAGCCAGACCTTTTGGTTGTTGGCAACAAGAACTGTATCACAGAACCTCCTCGGAGACAGAAAAGGGCCAGGTGGGCATGTCAAGTTCTAGGACCAAGTAGCCTCTCTGTCCCCTCTCTCCAGAGGGCAACATGCTGCAGATGACCAATGTCTTCCTTGCTTTAATCTCTGCTACTTCCCAAAACCATGCAAAAGGGGAAGGGGGAAGCAGTGCCGATTCTTTTCTGTCTGGCAAAGACATAGCTCCTATGTGCTATCTATGCTGTGCAGAGTTGTCTCTCGAGTTCCAGGGAAAAGCAGCTGCATTGATTACCAAAGTGCCTGCAGCAAGCAGCTGGACTTCCCTTATTCCCAACAAAATGAGTGTAGCCCAGTGTGGGTTTTTTCTGTTTTGTTGGGCAGAAAGATGCTGTCTTACTCTCCAGATTCCCTGGAGGTATGCCAAGGAATCTACCATCAATTTTCCAGAGCGCTGGAGGAATGAGGAGGACCATGTAGGATGAGAGCTGGCTCACTGTGAAGCTGTAACGTGACCATGTACAGGTGATAGATTTTTTTTTTTTTTTTTGGGGGGGGGGAGGTAGGGGTGGTGTTTGGGTTGGTTTTTAGGCTGCAAATGGGAAGAGGTTGATACTTTTATACCAGAATAGAGCAGAAATCCTGTTCTTAGGGGTGACAGCAATTGCAGCTCACTTCCTGTCTTTGTGGGAGCAGTTCAGTGTATTCTGCTGGGCTGGACCCGCACAGTATTGGTCCATGACTACCTCTGTAACTCCTCTGTGATGTTTGCCCATTACTTTCATTACTTCCCACCTACTACACACAAGCAGCCCCATATCCACTGTGTCCTCAAAGGGAATTCAGAGAATAATCAACCTATCAAGCCTGTCAGCCCACTGAGGGCTGTTAGCAGTTTCCTGGAGAAGACAAATCTGTAAGATGTGTGTTTCCTGGAGATCGCAGTGGCCAGATGTGTGTACCTTCACTAAGTTCTCCATGGTCATTGCTGTATTTTAGCTGCAACTGTTTCTCAGCAAAGGAGTTTTCCACACTTCACAGTGGAAAATGAAAGAAGGTGAACTTGTGTTTTTAATAGCCACAAATAAATGAGCACATCTTGTTTTATTGTTATTCATGTCCCATTTAACAGATTTCGGGACCTCAACCAGGTGAACAGGATTCCTACTCTGAAATGTAAGTAACTGTAGATTTAGGTGGGGTTTTTGTAAGGAAAAATTAGCCCATGATCTGTAAGAGGAAATGGCTGTGCTTGTTGTTCAGCATTGGTTTAGGAAATGTATCATCAAAGAGAACAGAATTGTCCAGGCTGTGGGGGATGGCTTGGAAGCTTCAGAGTATGCTGCCTACCTCTGTAGGCACCTCATCGCCTACCCCAAATGGTGTGCAAGCTGAAGGTGTTTTAATTTTGTTGCTATAATGGTTTTCTTTGTATAAATTAAACTGCCATGAGAGCATAAAAACCAGCCAAAACCAGGACGCATCCAAACTGCTTCTTAACCTACAAATAATTCCCCCAGTAGTCACATAAAGGAAAGCATCTTCTTGGGCCTGGAAAGAGTTCAGCTTAAAGGCAAAATGGGCACCCGGAGGCCTGGGGGATGGTTGACAACCAGCAAATCCCATAGTCCTGGCTGTATGGCGCTGGTGCTGTGGTACTGATGTAATGTCCTCATGATGAAAAATACCAATTTTATTTTACCTCCTGTGCTTCTTCCTGTAGCTTAAACAAAACACAGGTGGGGCTGGGGAAAAGGCCAGGGCAGATTTCTATCACTACAATGGTTGATGTTTCTCGTAAAAGATGTTTGGAGGTCTGCCACGTCTGCCTTTCTCATGTTAACATACCTGGCTGGAGTCTTGGCTCAACTTAGGTGTTGAGTGTAGTCCCAGAAGCTGATTTCTTTGCATGATGCAAAGAATTAATGTAAAAAAATATAAAAATAAAAGGGAAACAACTCCCCACTCAACTCTCTCCTGGTATTGAAAAATAGAATTCATGCTTAGAGTTTTGTTGGGAGTTTTTTCTATTTAATTAAAAAACTGTTTAGAGGGTAAATGTTAAAAGTTCTGGAAAGGATTTTACTACTGTCAGCATGTACAGTGGGGAACACTGAATTTATTCATGTCTGAGTGTGCTGTTCCTATACAGATGACAGGTGAAATAATTAAACGTACTAATGCTGCTGTAAGTAGAAAATTATTTTACTCCCTCAGTTGTGTAAGAGCCGGCATCAGAGCAAGCTCAGTAATAGAACTGTAAGGGTAAAACGGTATCCTGTTTTATAAACTCTCCAAGACACACAAAATACTCTTCTGTCAAAGATCCCTGTGCAAAAGCAGTTTAGGGCACGGTGTTGTGCTTCAGATGTTAGTTTTACGTAATCTTACAGAACGCATGTTTTGTTACGCAAGGAGAAAAACACAAGTGCTATTTCCCTCCCCCACCCCCACCCCCCCAAGAGGATTCAGAGTCACTTTTGTGTCTGTACCAAAGTTTTGCCTTTTAAAGTTATAAATAGAGCCCCAGCGGACTCCCAGGGAAGTGGGTTTGTATGGATCGGGCTTCCCCGCGGTCCCCTGCCACAGCTGTCTGTTCTCGTCAGTCCCCAGTGAATACTGCAAACCCTAGTCATCGCTAAGAATAAACCTTTCGACAACAACAGCCTCTCTCGACCTGAATTGTCCGAGGTTCTGGTTTGGGAAAATGACCCAGCTAATGACTTCATGGTAGGTGCTCTATATAAGTCAAGGAAAAAAACAGACATTCGCAGAGCTCGCAGGCTGGATTTAATCGAAGCCGGGAAACGACCTCGGGAGGGATTACGGTCGAGTGAGCACTGCAGTTATGTCACAGGTACGGGGAGCTTTGTATGAGCCTGGCTTTTGTTAGAGTGGGGTGCCCAGCAAAGCTGTTGCTGTTTAGACAGTTTGCCTGGAATAGCTTATTAGCAAGTTACTTTCATTCACCGGGGAATTTGGCTTTTCTGCTCTATGTGACTTGTCTGATTACGTTGAAGTATTTGAACAGTCTGTTTATATATTTTAACAAGTAAATTGTTAGGAGGGATTATTTGATGAAGAAGGAAAGCAGCTGCCCTCTACGTGGTTTATTAATTTAGTTTTAAAATGTTCTGGTTTACCATAAATATTTCTGTAGGAAGGGAAAAACCATTTCCACTGCTCTGGATTGGGATGTTTCACAGAAGGAGTGATTTCTGCTTTTCCAATGCGCTTTCTCAGACAATGATTTGAAACTTTGGCAGTAGGTGTGAAAGGACGTGGCTATACTGAAGTGTGCTGCTGTGTAATGCCTAGTGTATTAACATGCAGGAAAAGAGAGAGCGTGACTGAAAATTGTAACTGTTAGGATACAATATTTGAGACTGAAATTTTGTATTACACACATTTACGTTCATTTTGTAACTAATGGCTTGTTTTTGCTGTGCTCCCCTATAATCTGTGTTTCAAAGTGATCTTAAAATTAGCTTGGAAATGTTTAGGTTTTCGCATAAGCATTATGTTTTCAAGACAAGCTACGTGTGCCTGGCAGAGTTCTCCCAGCATGAGAATTTTATGTGGTGGGTGGAACGGAGAGTAGGGACACAGGACACAATCCTTCAACCACATAGTGTAACTTCGTTCAGCTTATTTTCTTTACTCCAAAGAAAAAGAGACTTAAAAAAACCCAGTCATATGTCTTGTAAACCAACACTTTTTGACTTGTGACAGGAGGAGATAAAGCAGCGGCTGCACTGCTCTGCCAGCTGAGAATGGCTCCTGCCAAACCCTGCTTACAAATGCACTTGCGTTGGGAGCAATTAGCAGTCGTGCGGCTGCGACACTGGGACCTGCTGGTGGGTCCGGGGCTTGCCTCTGGGGCTCACAGCAACCTTTCTGAGCAGCTTTTTTGCCTTTTAGCTGGGGGCCAGCTAATCCACAGCAGCTGTCCTGCTGGAAAATCCACCTGTAATTAAAGCATGAGGGGTTTTATTTTATAATAATTGGTTGAAATTCAGCAGTTCTGCTCAGCCTGGCTGTGTCTTGGTGCATCTCGAGTACCTCCTTTCCTTACCCCATCCCCAAGAAGTTCCTTGTCTCTGTGGAGAGAAGCCTCACAATTGTCTCTTGCCAACAATGGGTGAAGGACCTAAGCAGGTTTTGTTATTCCTGTTAGCAAAACAAGGGGGGTTTTTTTCCCCTTTCTGTGTTGGAGCCAACCCAGGTCTGTACTGGCTGCCTGTGGATGGTGCCATGGACGTGGGGAACCATTCCAATCCCATGCCAATTTTCATTACAGACAGACAAATGAAACCTTGGCTGTAGGGTTGTTTGGTTCACCAGCTAACTGACCAAAAGCCGTTGTGAATTTTGAAGGGTTTGCTACCACCCTTTCCCCTTGCTAGCTTTGGTTACTCATAAAGTGTTTTCCCCAGAGGTCTTGTGAATGTTTTGTTTCCCACAACACAGATTGTTGGGATTGACAGTGAGCTATTCTGAGCGTTCCCGGGAATTTACAGCGGGCAGGAAACATGCCGGAGGGTCTAGTGCAGGCAGCCTGCCCCTGCCCAGAGCCAGACATGCCGGCACTGTCTCTGCAAGCTCCCTGGCACTTGCTGCTCCAGCCAGTTGCAGGCCTTGATGTTTTGTTTCCCTCCCCAACTGTTTTTAGCTTTACAGGCGGTGCCTGGAAACATATGAGTGGGCTCCAGCACTGCCAGAACCCAAATATCAGAAGCCTTCTGTACGTAGCGATGGTCAGAGAAGTTTCTCGATGGTTTGGTGTGCAAATGCATTAAAGCTGGAGTGTGGGGGGTCTCGCGTTCTTCTTAATCGCATCTCCTGTGCCCCTGCACCCTGCTGCAAGGTGTGCCTGGTGTGGGACCTTGGCAATCTGTCCTTTACATAGTAAACTGAAGAGGGAATTGTTCACAATGCTGACTGCTGCTGATTGATGTTGTGTCCAGCTCTGAAGTGCTAATTTAAAGGTAGGGATAGGCTGATACGAACCGATGTTCTGATTTTATTCTAGCAAGATAACTGTAAACAGATTAGTACTTGGATGTTGCAGTGCGCCACCTGATGATGCATTTATTTCTATATTAGTTTTCCTTCTCCTTCTTTGGGCTCCGAGTCCAGTGTTTCAGATGTGTTCAGTACATGCTCATAGACAGCCCTGCTGAGTGCTCAGATACTTTTGTTTCCTAAATTTAAGATCAATAACTATGGATCAAGTGTTAAGTTTATTCCAGCTAAAACAAAAGAGATTTCAGAATCTCTCTGACCAGTTTCCCAAAGAAATAGTGAGTAGACTGAGGCACAAGCAAAATTTAGTAATGAAGGGTTTTTTCCTTCCCAAATATTGGACAGATTCTTGAATTACCAATCTGTACTTGAAGAATGATCAGGCAGGGCTGGACAGAGACAATTTTACAATAATTTTTTAAAAAAAATTAAGCAATCCACTGTCTCTTTCAAAGGCTGCACAATCAAAAGACAATTTCAGAACAGTATTGGGGCAACAGATTTTGGAAAGAGCAGTGAAATCCCAGTAGTGCAAAGGTCTGGAGTAGCTGAGTGTACAGTCTCAGAATTGAAATAGGTGGAATATTGTATTAGCAACTCTGTGTGTTGTAGCCTTTGGGTTAAGGCCATTTTGTTCCCTATGGTTCTAAACATGAAATGCTGATGTGTGAGCAATACCTCTGTTTCTTAGCCAGCCCCAGTGAAAAAGAAGCGTCCTCCAGTGAAGGAAGAAGATCTCAAAGGAGCCAGAGGAAACCTTTCCAAAAACCAGGAAATTAAATCCAAAACCTACCAAGTGATGAAGCAGTGTGGTAAGTCTCCTTGATGGAAACAATTAAGCAGTCTTCCAAAGTAAAACATCGACTTAATTGCTCTGTTCAAGTGAAAGGGTGCACCTCTGAAGCAGCAGCCAGCAGCGTGCTCACTGACCCTGGCCTGGCTGTGCAGGGACTTTGCATCCATCATCTTAATGGCACCAGGAGGTGCCAACGGGGCTCTGCTTGGAGTGATCATTTTCCCTGCCTGGACAAAGCAGGAAGGAGAGTCCTGAACCGGGGCTCAAACCAACCCCTGGGCCCTTAGTCAATGCCAATGACTGCCCAAGTTGAAGATGGGAGGCTTGGTCATAGATTAGGGGATTTCTGGCCTCTCAAGTGGACGAATTTGATGTGTTTGAGATGAAATAGAAACTGGGGGGGGGGTATAAAGGACAGAACGTGACAGAGAAGAGAGCGGCTGCTTGCACTGAACACCCCAGTGCTCTGGCTTTGTGTTGCTTTTCCACTACCAGTGGGAGAATCCAAGGAAAAATGACTAATTTTAACCCCTTTTCACCACAGTAGTTTCCAAGTTTCTAAAGTGCCTGCAGGGATCCAGGGCCAGTCAATGGCAGTGACCACCTAAGGTGCTGGCAGCTTCCCTGTGCTTGGGATGAGAGCGCTGTGCTTTAAGGTTTGGGAAGTTGATGGACAGATGAAATACTTATCAAATATGCCTATATATATTTCAGCAGCACTAGTTTTACTCCCCGAACTTGGTGTGCTACTTCACTGATTGCCTCTCCTGGTTTTCTTTCCCAAGAACAAATGGGCTCTGCAGCACCCTCCATATTCAGCCGGGATCGGACGGGGGCTGAAACGGTCTTTGAGAAACCTAAAGAGCAGCCGGCCAAGAGTGTCTTTGGCTGACGACGGAGCTGGATGTGTCTCGCCCAGATGATTGCTGTAATGTTTTCCCAGATAGCTGCCCCTTACACTAAACTCACTGTAGACCTAAATAGCTAATTTCTACTGTAAGTCATTAAGTAGGGAATAGACTCATGTCAGAGGGTACAACTTCTATGTTAATTTTTATTATGTGCTTTCTTTCTACGTGGTGAATGGTGTTTGCTATAATGGTTTAATAAAAAAGGTGGTTGGAAACAGCTTGGCACACTGTGGTGACTAATTTCAATTTAGGCTTAGATTAATTCTGTGGACACTTTGGCATTACAAGCTATGATCTAGTCTAACCATCGAACACAAAGAATAAACATCCACATGACACGGTTGTAGCGTCAGCGCCATTTCTTCATGTTGTGCCCTTGCCAGGAGGGAGCTGAGGAGGAGCTGGTCGAAGGGGCATCACAGAAACCTGGAGATTTCACCCAAATCTGTGCTGACCATGGCTGGGGCCCAGCGAGGCCCCTCGGGTCTGAGGTGTGCCACAGGGCGGGGCCTCCCCTCACAACCCCCCCTCAGAGCCCCCTCACAACACCCCCTCAGAGCCCTCAGGGCAGCAGGGCCGTGGTTTGCCCACAGGCAGCTCTGCAGGGAGGTGAGCTGGTGGGCTGTCAGCGTGCCCCAGCGCCGAGGGAGGGCTTGCTGCCCATTCCCCAAGGGCTTTTTCCTCACGTCCTGGAGGTTCTGTTGGATCCGGCGAGCAGTGGGGTGACAGACAAGCAGCACGGGCGCCATGTCCCTCCTGACTGAAGAGCTGAACAACCCACTGAGTGTCTCTGCACAACAGCAAACCCACTCTGAGTGGAAGGAGTTTTGTTTGCAACTCTGTTTACATCTTGATTTGCTGCATTAAATGTCAAATCTGGTTTTCCCCCACCATTATAAATTGGGGTATTTCCCCTCAGTGGGATCTTTGTGCTCAAACATGGATCATCCTCTGCATTGTTGGCAGCTGCTGTGCTCCCACACCCCGAATCCCTGGCAGCACCTCTGGAGACAGTAAGGTAGGTACCACTTTTATTTGAGGAATTGCTTTTATTTTGCACAGACTAGACCTGATTAAGAGTGAAAGTGGTATCGAAGGTCTCTGTGCACTTTGCCTTTTGTTTCCCAAACACTTGACAGATAAAACATGCCAACATCCACAAAGCTCCCAGAGAGGCCGTGGAGGGGGGATGTGCATAAGGCAGCAGGAAATCCTCTGGGTTTAAGGGGGAGGTTTCCTTAAAAGAATTAAAGATATCACTGGTGCATTGCCCTGCCCCATTTTTTTCACTTTCAAAGATTATTATTTGCGGCCAAGATGCTGCCTCCTCTGTCTGCTGGGCGCTGTATCTCCATGGAGCCCGGACTCCTCGCAGGTAACTCGGCACAGCTTTTTCCTCTGAGAAAGACCCCTTCCAGAGCTTCAAAGATAAAACACAGTGGAAAAAAGTTCCCACCCTGATAACAGCTGTCCCTGTATCAGGTTTTACAAACCTTCCTTAATCTGTGATGAGAAGTTGGCAGGAAGTTGTTTATTAATTAGAAAAATTATGAAGAGGGAAAATTGGGGCACAATGATGTTATCCCTTTCTTTTGTACAATACCAGTGACTGAGTATTGAAAACTTGCTAGACTGGGTAGCAGGAGGTGGGGGTGCTATTTCAGACCTGCCTTTGGGTATGTTGGTGCCGTTTTAGCAAAGCACAGAAGCCTCTGTGTCCCACAGGCTTGCAGCGTGGATGTGACAGGGAAGCAAGGTAAGTTATCTGCCAGAAACTTGTGATTTTGCTAACGGCTTTATTTCCAGGTTGTCCTCAGGTTCAATTATTTGTGATGCTTCTCAGTATGACAGTAAGTGCTCAGGACCCGGGATCTCTTTCTGTCTTTTAATTTGGACCTCATCTAAAAAAATACGTAGTGGAGGTGAAAGTGCATCCCTGGGACTAAGTCGCTCCCCATTTGTAACAGCAAGGTCTGTGCTCTCCTGTAAGAATTGCAGGAATCCTTCCCTGTCCCCAGCCTTGCTGCTGTGCTGGAAAAGTTACTAGCTGCTGCTGCAGGGCAGGAGATATTTATGGGTGAGAAGAAGAAACACAAAGCTGCCTGGATAAATTTTTGTTATGTTTTTCTTCATCCTTGTGAATCTAGTAAGTCAAATCATGGAAAATGTGCTTTCTTCCTTCCCCCCACCATTTTCATACTGAGAAGTGGTGACAGTGTCTGAAGAGCCCCTGAGTTTGAGGTTTTCAGGTCCTTTTGCACTCAAAAGTATCTCTTGTTGCGCTGGTGGATTTAGATCCTTCCTCCAAGGTGATCCGAAGTCATTTTGCAGCGTGTTGGTTCCTCAGAGCAAGAAGCACTGGGTGCTGCAGGAGCGGCGCCCAGCACACCAGCAGCAGTGGGCACTGGACATCAGCAGGGATGGCTGGCCTTGCTGGTTTGTACAGAAACGGGGCAGGGTGCTTGAGGCCGGGGACAAGGCTGAGCATGAGATTTTTCCTGTAGCTGCCTCAGCAAGCCACAAAGAGATGTGGGAGGGATTTCCTGGCTTCCCTGGGTGCTGGCCAGCTCCGTGCACCCAGGAGTGGGGCAGAGCCAACCACACAGCCTAAATCTGCGCTGTTAAAGCAGTTGGTTAACATCCATGCAATTTTACATGTAGGTATTACAAAACCGATGGCAGATCCACTTAATTAAAGCTAAAGCTTTGGCTCTTGGGAATCTTAGGCCACTAAGTGTATAATCCTGTGCATATTAAGGAATGAAAGCATTACACGAGTTGTAGAAGTTAATCAAATGTATAGAAATTGTAGTTTTTCTCTCTTAAAACATATGTATTTATATGTCCTGCTATAAGTGCTACAGTGTTTGCAAATAATATAAACAATCTTTGTGGAAGTAGTAAAGTTTATTTTTTAAAAAGTTACTTAAAGCACAAACCTTGTAAGACCAGGCTGTGCTCAAGGGACTCTCTATAGTGAGCTTGTCTGTTAAAGTAATAAATTATTGAGCCATGCAGTCGTGTCTCCTTGCAAATCCGAGACCACTGGAAGCACCTCTCTCCACCTGAACGCTTTCTAAAATAGCAATGAAGCAAACACAGATGCATGTATTTCCACAGGTTCTTTGTGTTAATTTAGAACAATTAATGGCATCACCTACCATGGAGTTCTAAGGGGGAAAATGCTGTTAAAAAGCAACATCAAAAAGTGGTTTTGCATGGGCAGACTGCAGGTTTAGTTGAGGCTGTCTGCTATCCCAGAGCCAGCAGCGCAGACAGGCAGTGAAATCATGGTGGCGAGGGCAGGAATTGGCCTTCACTTGCCCACGGCTGACGGGAGAGGAGTCTTCCCAGACCGCATCTCTTCACAGCAGCAGTAGGTTGCATGTTAACATACTGGTACACGTATGTTCATATAAATACACACAGGAACCAGGGGCTGATGCAACAGCTGCATATGCCTCAGAGATCTTCTGAACTGCAGCCTCAGGGGATGTTATTTTTCCTGTCGATATTTTCAAGGTCTCAAACGTTTTAATTTTTTTTGCACTGGGAATGAATGAACAAATGAATCCTTCTGAAAGCTTTCCAGTAAACCAAGCAAGCCTTGGAGGGGCACCCTGGACATGCAGCACAGCAATGGCTCGTGACAATTCGCTCCCCCACCCCTGTTTCTCACCTTGATTTCCCCAGATATAGAGTTCAGGAGGCAAACTTTTGAAACGAGTTCTGCCCAGGGTCTGTTTACCCCAATGCATAAAACCCAATTATTTCCCCACAATGTGTTTAAAATGCTTTGTCAAAGAAGCAGAAGCTACAACTACTTAGATGGAGAAATATCTTGTAAATAGTTATGCCATCTGTCTTGTGTTCGGAGGCTACGTAAACACATGAGTGAGCATGTTTTTTAGGAATTATGTTAGTATAACACTGTCCATAATTATTTGTGTATAAAACTGGACTTGTAAGCGAATTTCTTTCTCCAGGGCTACAAGCCAACCCTTGACCAACAAAAACTTCACAAGAACTGCTCGAAGTCCCTGTTGGATGAAGATTTTATGACAGAATAGGAGGTGAAAAGAGTCATCCCACTCAGTCTCCAGGTAAATTCAGCTGCAGAGCTCTTCCAGCACTAACCTTTTTTTGCAAACAGCCCTGCTGAGCGCGTGACTTAAAGGCAGCTCAGCTTTGCAGAATCCCCGGCTGGATGTGTCACAGCTGTGCTAGGGCCGGACAAGGCCAGATGTGCTCCCGTGCACGGCTGTTGTTGTGCTGGTTTTTGGGTGGTTTGTGCCTTCTTCGTACAGTTACGTATGCGTACATATGGGCACTGACTTAGCACCTCTCTCTCCCTAGGAAGTCCAGGCAAGGTCTGATTACTTTATTTTTACTGTTTAGCTAAACAAGCCACAACTGACTTTGCTATCTGACAAATGAGGGTTATGGCTTGGCAGAGGAAGCAGAAAGGGACGTTTCAAGAGGCCCACTCCACACCTCTCGTGGGCCAGCTGGGCAGGGAGGCACAAGGTTTGAAGAAGTCACAAGCTGAAAAATCTCACACGGATGTTGCATGTCTTGGCAATCTCCAAATCTTTGACGTGCTCGAGATAACATTAAGGATGTGCCCTTTCAAATTATTACTGTTGGATATGGTAGACATTCAGGCATCCGAAAATGCAGCGAGATCAGTGTTGAAAAAGAAAACCTAAAGATTTCTTAACTTTATGCTTTATGAAACATTACAATTCTAATGTTTAACAGCAAAGATCTGCTGGAAAAATAAACTTTAACCAAGTACAAGTTTTACCTATGTTTAACATGTAAATATTAAGTTTCTGGGTCTCTTCAAAGTCTACATACTATCCCCAAGTACAAGTTACTCATTAACTGATTAAGATAAACTGAGTTTTCATTTGCAAATCTGGTCTTTCCAAAATGGAGGAGAGAACGTTTCTCGCTTTGATGGTCTTTTCCTCACTTGTAATATTAGCAGAAACTATTGCTCAAAAGGTATTTGGTCTATTTTTTTTCTAACAATATCTTGTTTTCTCATTTGGTGAGCCGGTGGTATTGCGGTAGCTGGCCAGGTAACTCCTCTGGTAACCACCACCTGTGGAGCCTCAGGTGTATTATGCTGTGATTTCCCAGCTTTGGGTCATTTTAAGGCCTCCTTGTTTGTTTGTGTGGGCTGTTATAGCATAAACGTGGCAGGAGAACATTTGCAGATGTGTGATTGTGCTCTTCCCCAGAGATGTAAAATATCAAATTTGAGGGATCGATGGGTCTCCTTCAGCCACCACATGAGGTTTGGATCTTGATGCTGTGCCGTTACAGCAGGATCAAACGAGGACCATTGCAGTGCCAGGAGGTTTCTGACAGGCGTTTAATAATATATATGGAACAGAAAAGAAGGGACTAGGCAGTTATTTGTACCATCTGGAGGAGCAAACTGTGGTTTGTATCATCAGGGTGCATGTCTTATTTTAAAAATATCAATATTAGAGGAATGGAGAAAGCCTTATGTTTGAAGGTTTTTATTTTTATCATGCCTACTCAGAAAAATGTGAAATGTGACCGAAATGCAGGTGGGTTCCTGGGAAGCAGGGATGGGACTTGTGGCCACTGCAGGGGCGGCTGAGGGCTCTGCACAGGGGTAAGTTTTGCATGGGGCAAGCTCCTCTTGTGCCAGAAGGATGCTCCATGGGCAGTGATGGCCATCATGTGTCTGCACTGCCCCAGTGAGCCACGGCTTGGGGCTCCTCAGTCGTGGCAAAACCTCCCCTCTGAACATGCCACGAGCAGGTTTGAGCATGGCAGAACAGTGAATGTGAGCGGAGGTGCTCGGGGATACTTGGAAAGCCTTTGGGAAGAGGTGCCCCCAGGAGGGACAGTCCCAGCCTGGGCAGCAAGGGCTGCAGGGAGGCATGGGCAGGGAGAGGCACCCGAACTGCCAGGATCAGGAAACTGTTCTCTCAATGAATGTTTTTGGGTTTTATCCTGTTGTCCTGGATCGTCAGTAGGCATCAGGAGATGGAGCCGGCTCTGGCAATGTACAATGAAAAAAGAAACAGTGACCCGTTACTCACATGGCTGTGGCACCTCTTGCACTGATGCTGGAGCACAAAGCTGTGGGCATAGCTTTGTATTGAATGGCCACATTTAACATGATGAATTTCAGCCAGTGAACCTAACTGAGAAGAGGCCAGTGGATGTTATTAATTAGTGAGCAAAGTACAAGAGATGAATTATCAAAGTAACTGAAGATCAATTAACCATTCAAAAGATATGTGAGGCTGGAAAAGTGATCTACTTTGATACTGAGCTTTTTTATTTTAATAAACTATTGTGAGGCTGCTCATGTCCAGATCAACCCTTCTTAGTGTCACTGATGAAATGGTAGGGCCTTTAAAAAAGACATCCCAAATGCAAAAGGAGGGTGTTTACAGAGGCAGGTTCTCCAGGCAATTCCTAGTCCAGTCACCCTGTGGGGTGTTCCCGGGTGGGTGCTCTCCTCCCTCGAGCATTGGGGGCCCTGGAAGCACCAGACCAGGAGAAACACAAGTGCTCAAAGGGCATCCCTGCTTGTGCAACCAGAGAGGGGTTGGAGGCCCATGCGGGGTTTCAAACTTGCTAAACATCGTATGTGGCACAAGACACCAAGCTGAAAAACATGCAGAAAAGTCAACAGCTGGGAGAGCAAATAAAAAGTCATGCAAAAAGCTAGCAGGTCTCTTTCCATGAATCGAGCGCTTAGAGAGGCATCTGATTTTTCTGAGGTTAATCTTGGGCGATGTATTGGGGTGACACAGCAGCTGCTTCAGAGTACCATGGTGAGAGAAGACCACAGAAAAAAGCTCAGCAGAAGCCTTCTGTGGAACGACAACATGCATGTAGCTGCAGATTTTGCGTGAGGCTGTAATAGCAGCTGCAGAGATGTGAATAAGCAGCCAGCCAGTCTGGTCATGAACAATTCTCCCTCCCCAGTTCCGGCCAGACCTTCTAACAGTTCATTCCTTCACCAAACTTTTCCAATAACATCACCCAGGTAAGGACTGCTCAGGAGCAACAACTGAGCGTTTCTGTTTCAGCCTGTTTGTTTGTTTTTTCCAGCATGCTATTGAAATCTACAGTCTCCACGTGGACTGCAAGGTCACATCACGATTTGCTCACACTGTTATCACCAGCAAAATTGTCAACCGAGCTAATGAGTCCAGAGAGGCCACCTTTGAAGTGGAGTTACCCAAGACGGCCTTCATCACCAACTTCTCCATGTAGGACCAGTCCTTACCTGTGGTGTGAAGGAGGCAGCTCTGCGGGGGGGTGTGTGTGTGTGTGTGTGTGTGTGTGTATTTATCTTTCTTCTCAGAGGGTGCTAAGCAAAAAGCACAAAGAGCTGAGCTCTGGAGGGTCCTGTACAAAATGCTCTGTGGGGCAAAGTAGTAGGCAGCCAAATAGAAAGAAGGTGGCCAGTGCGAAGCTGCCTGCTGCATAGGGTGGGTGGCAAACATACTTGGTGGTGGTGTTTCTCCTGCCCCAGCCTCCCTGGGACCCTGCAAGGAGAGAGGGCTGTGTTGTGGTGGGTCCTGGCACCCTCCTGGACAGGGAGGGATGTGGGAGGCAAACAGCATCCCCTGCTCATGCCTCGAGGCCACAAAGTACAGCATTTCTTTTCTTTCCCTAGTGCTTTCCTTCTAATATTAATTAATTTTTATGGAAATCAAACAGGTCCATCGATGGTAAAGTATACCCAGGAATAATAAAGGAGAAAGCTTCTGCTCAAAAGGAATATGACACTGCCGTCTCACATGGGCAGAGCGCCGGCCTCGTCAAGTACGTTGCCATTCTGAGTAAGGATGCTTCAAGGCTCTTCCTCAGCTGCTTCTTTGGCTGGGGGTGGGTTAAACCCTGGAGCCAGCCACCTCTCAGTGGGGATAAATGTGAAAAGCAGCCTTGAGCTCCTGATGGGAGGTATGGGGGAGGTGTGTGTATATATATATATTCACATACATATATGATTCATATCTGGTCCTGCAATGGGCTTCAGTGGGAGGTGTCACTGTTCAGTGTTGCCTGGGACTTGCTGTCACATGGGAGCACATTGCTGGGCTGGGATGATGCTTAGTTGTTGAGTCTGCTTCCCTGCAAGCACGCAGGACTGTGGCACTTGAGCAGACGTCATGCTTTTGGGGTATATTTAATCTGGGCTTCCCATGTATTCAGTCCCAGTTCTGCTTGATCCCAGTCCGAGGCATGCAGAGGTTTCTGCTCCATTTCTCAGCTTGCATGTGGAGCACCCACGGCACACATGTAATATGTCACCCACAATGTTAAAAGAAATCTTCTCTTTAATAAGATTTACTACTACTATTTATTTTTTATTTATTCCATGTGGCTCCTTGGCCATTGTTTAGCACAATTCATAAACTTTGGCCACCACACACAAACCTTCCCCACAGGAGGTAAATCTCTGTTCTCCCCCGCAAGAATCACAGGCAGAAAACTGGAGCAGTTTCACGTTTCCGTCAGCATTGCAGCCGCCAGCAAAGTCACTTTTGAGCTGATGTACGAGGAGCTGCTGAAGCGTCAGCTGGGGAAGTTCGAGCTGCTGATCAAGGTCCGACCGAAGCAGCTTGTTAAGCACTTCCAGGTGAGCTGCCCTGGCGAGGGCTGGGCAGGGAGCACCGCGGCATCTTTCAGGCACGGCTGTGTTTCCTCCAAGATGCTGACACCGACTTCTTCTCTGCTGTCAGATTGATGTGCACATCTTTGAGCCTCAAGGCATACGCTTCTTGGAGACAGACAGCACGTTCATGACAAACGAGTTAACTGAGGCGCTCACAAAAGTGCAGAATGAGACCAAGGTAAAGCAGCAGCTGCCAGATGTTCCTGCCAGTGGCAGCTTTAAGTTATGTTGCTTTAAATCTTTTCTTCTGATTGCTTTGCAGGCTCATATTTTATTTAAGCCAACTGTAGATCAACAGAAGATAAATCCTGAACTCGATGAAACCCTCCTCAACGGCGATTTTGTTGTGCGTTATGATGTTAAGAGAGATGTCACTGCAGGTGATATACAGGTAAAAAAGAAATAGAAATAAAAATACTTTCAGATCATAGATACATCTGAATATGAAATGCAATCAGCAAAACAGCAACATTTACTTTGAAAGACCAAGAGTGACAGGAAAAGCTAT